ATTTCTCAACATTTCTGTCTGATAACTAATGAGCTGTAAAGTATGTCATTTACATTAGCAAGGTATTCCCCTTTACGATATTTACAGAAAAGATGAAAATTAATCATTGTAATTGTAATCCATTTCTCAGTTAGTTCATTTTCTTTGTTACTGTATAAAAACATGTTGTTGTGTAAATAAGACCTACAATTATTACTTTCAAAATTATTCTTTGTATTTTATCGCTATTGTAAAGACAGGATTCATTATGTATTATCGTAACTTCCTTTTTTCACAACATGTACAACTTTTTACTTGTGTCTAGCTAAATTTCTTTAGCCTTTTTCTTCTACCTTCTTCATTTGCTTGTCATTGCATGCAGATTTGGTCAATATAGGACTCTCACTCATTCACAGCCTTCCCGGCCTTCTCTTCTTATCCTCTACTTTGTTTGCATTCTCATTCATTATCCTTTACTAGATCTAGACTCTACTGTTTGTTATAATAATTAAAGGAATGTATATACTATCATAACTTCCTTTAGTCACAAGACTATAGATTAGACTCTATAGAATATTCCAAGAGGTCATCAGGGATATCCCCAGGCTACTGTTATTCAAGAGTTTGTTCTTGCTCTATCTTCATACTCTTAATTTTTTATTATTTTCTCAAAATGACAGCCAAACCCTTTTCATCTTCTCCTGGTCTCCTCAAGCTGGAGGAACAGCTCACCTGTCCTGTGTGTCTTGACCACTATACCAACCCTAAGACTTTACCTTGTCTACATTCATTTTGTCAGCATTGTCTGGAGGGATTACCTCTGGATAAGAAGAATGAGACCTATTACCTTTCTTGTCCCACTTGTCGTCATTGTACAGAGTTACCAGAAGAAGGAGTAGGAGCCTTTCCTGTAGCATTCACTCTCAACAACCTGAAAGAAATACACAGTTTAATGAAGAAAGTAGCTGATCCTCAACAGGTTGCCTGTGACAACTGTACTACAGCTAATGCCACTGGATACTGCAAAGACTGCAGTAAGTTCATGTGTGCTGATTGTATCTCTACCCACAAGAAATGGGCCGACTTTTCTAACCATCAGCTGACAAATCTTGATGAGGTGGCAGCTTCTGTCTCTTCTACTTCTCAATTGCTAGCTCAAGCTAAACAGGAGACTCTAATTTGTTCAATACCAAGTCATGATGAGCCATTGAAGTATTTCTGTGACACATGTGATGAATCTATCTGCCGTGATTGTATTATGCTGACTCATAAAGATCACAAGTATAACCTAATAGCTGAGAGTTATATTAAACACAAAGAAGTACTGGAGGAATCTCTTAATCCAGTAAAAGGGAAAATCAAAACACTCAAGAAGGTTGTTTTTGCTTTATCAAAAAGAGAGGGTGAGATCAGAGAGAAAGGAGAAGGAGTATTAGAACAAATACATGAAATGGTTGAGGAAATGGTGAATGTTCTTCGTCAGTCAGAGAGGAAACTGACTGAACAGGCAAAGAGGGTCACTGATAATAAATTAAAGGTGCTGTCAGAACAAATCAAATCAGCAGAAATAAGTTTGAGTCTTCTGGAGGATGTTGAGGATTATGTGGAACAGAGTCTGAAGACGGGCAGTCCTCAACAAGTCCTGAGGTCTAAGAAACAAATGATGGAGCGTATGAGTGAAGTTACTGCAGGGATTAATGTGGAGGAGTTACAGCCAAAGGAAAAGGCCGACTTTGTATTGAGTAAAGATATCAAATCGCTACATCACATTGGTGATATTGTGAGCTACTCATCTACTGCACTGCAGCAGTGTAGAGTAAAGATTTGTCGTATTTCACCTGCTGGCAAAGCAGTTTCATTTTCGCTATCAATGGAGGCACCAGATTCATCTCTTTTGTCTGTTCCCCTCTCTTCTCTCAAGTCAGTCAAGTGTAGTTTAGTACCAGTTGGTAAAGGTGATCAACCCATTCACACTACAGTCACCACCAGCACTGATCCTGGAGTGTATAGGATACAGTGTAACCCTTCAACCAGTGGTACTCATACAGTAAAAGTACAAGTATATGATGTACAACTTGAAGATACCTCACTAGTCATCCCTTTCAATCCTTACCTTGATAACATCACTCCAGTATGTACTATGACTCAGCTGAAGGGTCCCTGGGGAGTTGCTGTAAGTGATGACAATCATGTTATAATAACTGAGTGTAGTGGTCACTGTGTAACAATACTGGATAGAGAAGGAAAGAAATTGAAATCGTTTGGAGGGGAAGGAGGAAGTGGTAATGTCAAGTTTTCTTTTCCTAGTGGTGTAGCCATTACTCCAGACAAATTTATTCTTGTATCTGATGAACACAGGATCCAGAAGATAAGCATGGATGGATACCTTATAGCATCTGTTGGTGAGGAGGGCAGTGGACCACTACAATTCAGTAGTCCTTCTGGTATGGCCATTTCTCCTATAACAGGACAGATTTATATTGTTGATAATAATAATAATCGTATACAAGTTTTGAATCCTGATTTAACCTTTTCTCATTCATTTGGTAGTGATGGATCAGCTAATGGACAGTTACAGTGTCCATATGACATTGCTATTGACAGTCAAGGTTTGGTTTATGTCCCTGATTTTAATAATCATCGTGTGCAGAAGTTCTCTCCCGATGGGAAGTTTGTGGGTCAGTTTGGCACCAAGGGATTTGGTCCTGGACACCTCAAGTATCCTGCAGGTATAACAATAGACACTGCAGCTACTGGTCTAGTGTATGTTAGTGAATGGGGCAATGATCGTATCTCAGTCTATACTAGTGATGGCGTGTTTGTCAATAGTTACGGAAGCAGAGGAAGTAAATTTGGCCAGTTTTGTCGTCCTATTGAACTATCATTTGATAAAGATGGGTTTTTGTATGTTTGTGATCATATTTATAATCATTT